CCCCGCCCCCCGGCCGCTCCGGCCATCGCGGCCACGTGGAGCCCCTGGGACCTGTGGCCGGCCCGGTGGGTCACAGCGAGTTCTGGGGGTCCCCGTGGGGCTGCTGGGAGCCATGCTGGGGGCACATGCCCCTTCCCTGGGCCATGGGAACTGTGGGGTCCATGGGGACCCCAGTGCCTTCGGGTGCTTGGGGTGGCACCGACCCGCCCCGACTCCTGCCCCAGCTGGGTGCGGGATTCCGGCTCGGGCACATTTCCCAGTGTGTCTTGGGCAGCTGCAGCTGTGCCACCCCCGGGCAGCAGTGCCAGGCACTGCCCCGAGCACCCACACGGGGGGCTCCTCTCTGTGCAGGGGCCGGGGCTGCTCCACCTGCCCTGGGTTTGCTGTGGGTTGGGGCGCGGCAGCGGCTCCACCTGCCCCTGGCACTCGGCCACCTCTGGCACCAGGCTCTGCAGCTGCTCTGGCTGCTGGCCCAGGGGCGGGTGGGGGTCCAGGGTGCCACAGGCAGCATGGGAGACCTGGGTAGGGGGCAGCTGGCTGCAGAGGGGGGCAGTCAGTGGTGCCTTGTGCTGAGGTGCTGAGCCAGGGGCCAGCAGTGCTGTGCAGTGCTCAGGGTGCCGTGTTGGCGTCACTGGTGCTGTGCAGTGCCTGGGGTGCTGCGCTGGCGGTGCCACGCAGTGCCCAAGGTGCAGTGCCACAGCACGGGCAGCCTCTGTGAGTCAGAGCAAGGTGCAGTAGCTGCCCCCTCCCCACTCACCCGTTCCCAGGCCCTGCTCACCAGATTCACTTTCACAATGACTGGTGCAGCCACTCCGGCTCTGCTGAGATCGCCCTGGCCCACACTGCCCACGCTGCCTGTGGCCTCCTGCCCTGTGTCACCACCTGTGACCCTGCACGGTGCTGCTGCTGGCCTCAGCCAAGCCCCCTCAGCCCTGGCCCTCACCAGCTCCTGCCCCAGGTGCTGCCGAGCAGGGCGGTGTTCGCCCTCCTGAGCGGACCCCGTGTGTTCCCGTGGGGCTGCAGCCCCTGTGCAGGGCCGGGGTCCGGCGGGTGGCAGGGGGGTGTCACGGCTGGCAGTGAGTCAGCACAGGCAGGTGGGGATGGACACAGGGACGCCGTGATCGGGGACGCTGTGATCGGGGAATGACTCATGTGTTAAACAAACAAACAGGCGAGTCTGTGTCGGCAGCTTCCTCCTCGCCCCAGCACCGGGGAGCCGTCGGTGCACCCCGGTCACCGAGCCCCCGCAGCGGAGCTGCCGCCACACGCGGTGTCACAGGCACACACGTGCACAGGGAACCCCTGCCCCGCAGCCGGCAGGACGGTCCCAGGGGTCCTGGAGCAGGGGGTTACGGGCTCTGGTGATTCCTGAGATCCCCAAACACCCGCCTTTCGCCCTTGCTGCAGGAGCTGCAGTGGCCGGAGCCGGGGCGGGCACCTGGCTCCCAGAGCCGGGGATTTCCCAGGTCCAGCCTCACCTGGGCTGGGGCCCTGTGGCCTCTCCCTGGGCCTGCAGGTGTAAAACCCAACTGTAGGCAACCACCCAGCCCATGGCACGGCCGGCCTGCCCGGGCACCCTGCGGCTCAGCCACGTGCCTGCCGGGCTGGGAGCGAGCTGGGGGGGTGGCAGCCAACTGCCCGGCTCTGGCTCGTCCCGGTCCTGCAGCCCCTGACCTGCAGGTCCCACTGCTGAGCTGAGTTCAGTCTGTTCTCAGCCTAAAGGTGCTTCTCCCAGGCCCTGCTGCGTGGGGAGGCTGTGAGTGATGCTGTGCCCCGGCCCAGGGTCCATCGCCCTGACCCCCGGTGGGGCTGTGCCGTCACCACCAGCGAGTCCAAGCGTGACCCGCGGCCTCGTGCACACGCACATCCAGAACGCCAGGAATGTTTTGTGGGGAGGCTGGAAAACGGTCAGTCAGTCGTTTACTGGATTTTTTTCCACCCTTTCTGCTGTGGGTTTGGCCGGGGGCCCGGGGCGGGCTTGGGGGGGTGGGTGTGAGCAGGCGTGTGATGAGCCGGGTGTGACGGGGCTGGCGAGGGCTGCGAAAGTGCTGAGCTGGTGTGAACCCGCCATCCCCATCTCCTCCTCTCCAGCCCTTCCTGGAAGCGGCTGCAGGGAACGTTCCTGCCGGGTGTGGTTACGTGGGCAGCTGTGCCCATCCCCAGGCATCAGGGCGCCTCATAGGGAGGGAGAGGCCAAAGGCAGGGGGTGCAGCCCGGGGGGTCAATGCGGGTGCCCTGTGTGCTCCTGCCTCACTGAGGGGGGTGAGGTGAGGGGCCCACACAGGCTGGGAATGTTGCTGCTCCTCGGGTCCCTGTGTCACTTCCCCTTCCCCATGGTGGGAGCGTGGGGCTGGGGGAGCGTGTCCTGCCTGGAGCCACACGCTGAGTCAGGGACAGGACAGGAATAGTGTCGGGTGCCTGAGTCACAGCCCGCGTGCAAAACCAGCAGCACTTCCCCAGGAAGGGGGAACCCCAGGGCCCTGACACCCCCGGTATTGTGTCAGCCACTTCCCTGGGATTAGGGTCCCCCCACTCCTGCATCAGCCATGGCTCCCTCTGGAGCTGGGACCTGCCACCGCCGCTGGCTCTGTCCTTTGCTGGTGTCACCAGCCACAAGGACAGGAGATCAGGCAGGGATGCAGGCAGGGAGCGGCTGCCCCACCACAGGACCTTCTCTCTGTGCCCACGCAGGGCATGGAGCCCCCCAGCCCCCAGTGCCAGTCAGGGTACTGTGCTGGTGCTCCCCTGGCACACGCGTGTGCACAGTGTACCCCCACCCCCGCCTGTGCATTGCACTGCAAGTGTGACAGACCCTCCTGCACCCTCCCTCTGTCCGGCTGTTCCCCCGCCAGCTCTCACAGACCCCCCCCCTCCCTCCCGCCTCCCCCAGAGCGTTCCCGCAGTGTCTCCATTGATAAATCTGGAGCGTTGCCATGGCGACGCTGCCGTGGGGCTGCCGAGGGGCCCAGGCCCACGGCGTGGGGCTGGGGGGGGCTGCTGGATCCACGCGTGTGGCTGTACACACGTGTGTGATTTCACAGGCGTGTGGCTGCACATGTGTGTGCACGTCCCATGCTGGGGGCCCGGGGGGCCCAGCAGTGTTTGGTGACTGCACCGTGCCGGCAGTGGGACCCCACGGGGGGGCTGCAGAGGGTCTGGGGCAGGGGGGCGGCTCTGGCATGTAAGGGGAGCACAGAGGGGGCTGGAACTGGGCCCTGCTCTGGGGAAGCCCTGGGACCACCCAGGGACCACTCACTGCCTCCAGCACAGCTGGGCAGCTGCAGACCCCGGGGGGCTGGGGCTGGGGGGGCTCAGGCAGGCAGTGCCTGCCCCCAGGAAGCTCCTGCTGTTCCCTGTTCCCTCTGGCACCCACGGCCGCTGCGCTCGGGGGTCCACGTGGGGAGCCCACGCCTGCTTTGGCCACATGTGTTTGACCCTGTGGACGTGGGCAGAGCCCGGTGCCGCAGCCCTGAGCGCCCCGCGGGGGATCGGGGGTGCTGAGGGGGTACTGGGTGCTGGGATCAGCCCCGTTTGCAGCCAGGAGTCAGGGGACACAGACAGGACCCCGGGGTACGGGGTGATGTGGGATTGCTGCCAGCGGGGCCGTGGCACAAGCGTGGGCTGCGCGGGCACACGCGTGCGGTGCCGCGTGGGCAGGATCGGTGCGTGTGGCGTGGCTGCCCTCTGCTGCCACGGCCACGGCAGCGCCCAGCACCACGGCACCCGTGGGACGCTGCGGGGGGGCCTTGGCAGGGACCCCCTTTGTGCAGAACAATGGCAGCCCCCCTCCCGCCAGCCCCTTGCCTGCAGCCTGCGGGTAGGGGCGAGGGGCTGCCAGGGCTGGGGGCAGCAGGGGAGGGGGCTCTGAGGTGTTGTTGAAGAGGAAATGTCCCCACACCCCTCAGCTGGGACGGGGTCACCCAGCAGCCAGGAGGAAACAAAGCATTTTCTGGACTTTCAGAGCCCTGAGGAGGGGGCTCAGCTCAGGGTGGGCTGGTGTCGGTTCCTGGTGGTCTCCGCTGGTCTCGGGGGCGTGGGGCTGGTGTGGATCCTGCAGCTCCATCCCATCCTCCATCCCGCGTTGGGAAGCAGGTCATGTCCAGCTCCCGGCACGGCAGCAGCGCTGGGGGAGCTCAGCTTTCTGGGGCAGCTCTGGGCTGCTGGGAGCAGCCAACTGCGGCTTCCTGCGCTGCCAGGGCTCGGGGGGAGGGTTTCCAGTGGCGCAGGACTACGTGGCACTGCCATCCAGGGGACAGGGCGTTGGGGAGCTCAGCCCCCCGCTCCTCTTCAGCTCACCCCAAAGAGGGGCTCTTGGCACCCGTCTCCTCCCTGGCAGCAATACAGGGAGGGCTGGGGGAAAAGAGGGTTCTGTGCAGGTTTGTCTGAGGAAGCTCACTGGGAGGTGGGATGCTGGGATGGGCTGGGATGAGCACTGTGGCTCCTTGCAGAGGTGTGAGGTCAGTGGGATGCTGGGGGTCTTGGCTGCTCCACGAAGGGCATCCTCCTGCCCCACGGAGGGCTAGAGGGGTGAGCTCCCAGAAACCTCTTTGCTCCAGGAGTTGCTCCCTCATCTCAGGGCAGCTGATCTGGGTGGTACCAGCCTGTGCAGTGCCAGGATCCGGCCTTTCCCTGTGGAACACCCGGCTCCCAGGGCAGGTGTGGTGCTGCTGGAGGCAGAGACGCTGCCTCTACCTGCCTCCATTCAGATCAGCGCGGGGGGAGCACGGGGGAACTTTCCCGACTCGTTTCCCCACCTTAAGGGAAAAAAAGAGAAGGAGTCGCATGACTTGGAGCTTCCCGAGAGGCAGCGCGGGGAGAGAGTGACCCAGGGAGCCAAGAATCTGCTCCGCTGTCGTGTCTCATTCCTGCTCTGCGGCGCAGGGCTGGGAGAGGTTGGGTTACGGGAGGCGCGGAAAGGGGACGGTGCAGGATGAGCTCATGCGAGGGCGCGGGAACCTTCTGGGCAGGAAAAAACGTTGATGCTGCAGTTCAGGGATTTCTGCAACCGCGGCTGTTCCCGCAGATCCCGGCTCGCTCCGCCCGGGCCGTCCCCTGTGCCCGTGGCAATCGACCCGCCCGGGGGGCTGTGGGGCTCAGGGTGATTCATGTCCCCTCGCAGGGACACGGAGCTGTGGAGCAAAGAGGGAGAGAGGGGGGACATGGGGTCCTGGGGGGACACCGGGGTTCTGGGGAGCTCCAGGACCCTCGTGCAGGGAGCTGGACCAAAGGCCACCCTGCATGGGCTTGAGGGGGTTGTGGGACTATCGGCCCCACCACAAATTGTGGCAGCAAACCCCAGTGTGAGGTTTTGCTACCTGGTCCCCACGGCCTGAGGCAGTGCCACCAGCAGTGAGACGGGGTGTGTGGAGGGGCACGAGGGGTCTGGAAAAGCTCCCATTTCCCCCAGCACCAGGGCTGGCTCCCCTCAGTGTGTAATTCACCCCACGCTGTGTTCCCGGTTCCTGGCAGTTTTCCCCCTGCTGACTGTGGATAAATCCTTCCCACGTCTCCAGCCCTCTGTCCCACAAGGTCTCTCGGTGTCGCGCGGTCAGAGGCTGTTTGTCCTGTCCTTGGGTAGCATCTCCTGCCCTTAAGAACTCGATGCTGCAAATACTCTTAGATGATGATTAATGAGCGCTTATATAACTGAGCTGAGTCCTTAATGCAGCCGGGAGGGTGACAGGAGGGAAGGTGGGAGCAACAAACCGCACGTCGCTGCAGCTGCTGCTGCTTTTCCCACACTGGAGCAGCCGCATCCCGCACGGGGGGATGCTGGAGGGAGAGCCCCCCACGGGGCAGCAGCTGGGGCAGCCCCCACCTGGGTTTCCCAGGCAGGTTTGGATGATGTGGCACGGCCAGGCTCTCCAGCACGGCAGAGCTGGCAGGGGAAGGGTTTATGCTGGTAAAGCATCGCTGTGTGACGGTGTCTGGAATGTTGTGCTGATGTCGGCGAGCTGGGAGTGCTGGAAGAGGGTCCAAATCCCACAGCAACACCTGACTGTGGCCCACGTGGGGTGACAAGGCCGCTGCTAGAGCTGCTGTGTGCTGGGTGCAGTGGTTTCTAAATTTGGCTGCGTTTGAGCAGGTAGGGATGGCCTGACACACAGGATTTGGTTTTCCATAATCTGGCTGGGAAGCACCAGCCCTGATAAATCTGCTGCTCAGCGCCAAGGCACTTACATGGTTGCCATGGTTACCACATGCTTATTTTCACCATCTTCCTCACCTCAGCCGGGGTGCACCGGCATTCCCAGCCCCGAATCCCCCCTCACCTCAGCTGGGGTGCACTGGCATTCCCAGCCCCAAATCCCCCCTCACCTCGGCTCATTTCCTAATACTCTGGTTTGGGTATCCCAACGCTGCTGTGCATCCCAGCTCTTTGCTGTGCACCCGATCCCCCTGCTCCCTGTGCCTCCAATCCCCCTGCCCTCCGTGGATCCAATCCCCCCATGACTGCAGATCCAACTCCCCCACTCCCTGTGGATTCAATCCCCCCACTCACTATGGATCTGATTCCTGTGGATCCAGTCCCCCATTCCCCGTGGCTTTGTCCTACAACTCGGTAAATCCCAGTCACAGTAACTGGCCGAGGGAAGCGCAGCAGCCCCGGCTCCTCGCCATGGCAACGGCAGGATTGCGTCAGGGCTTTTCTTTCCAACTGCAAAGCTGGATGAGCAACTCCCTCAGGGACAGGAGTAAGGGAGAAGGGAATATTCTTTTTCCCGGGGGCTTTGGGACTGCCAGTTCCCAAACTGTGTTTTGCTCCTTGCTCCTGGGTCCAGGGCTGCAATGGGACAGTGTGTGGTCATACAGGGCTGAGACGCTGGGGACAGGGAGGGTTCCCCTGCCAGGGACAGTGAGAATTCCCGTGCTGGGGACAGTGAGAATTCCCGTGCTGGGGACAGTGAGTGCTCCTGTGCCAGAAAGGCTCCGTGTGCCTTCCCCATGCTGTGGCATCTCTGCTTGTGGCACAGGCTGAGCTTGCAGCGAGACGGGGAAGGAGCTGGAGGTTTGGTGATGGATGGCTGCTTCAGTCCAGCCTCGCATTCCCTCTTTCCCTGCAGCCCCAGGAAAAACAAAGGGAGAGAAGGCTGTTCTGCTGTTCAGGATGTGCTGGGCCTCGCTGGACCATGCTGGGCTCTGCTGTGCCCCAGTGCAGGAGGGTGGTGCTGGGGGCTCCCCAAGGCCCAGGGGGAGGAGCACAGAGCCTGGAGCAGGCGTGGGCTCGTGGATGGTTGTGTTCCCTCCCTGGGTAAGGCACAGCCCCAGAGCAGAGACACCCAGCGCTGTCCCTGGCGCTCGGGCACCCTCTGCCCCATCCTCCCTCCTGGTGCTCCCCTCCCCGGAGGAGCTGCTCTGGGATTTGGGAACCTCATCAGAGTGGTGCCCGGGGCGGGGGCTGCCCTTGGCTCCTGAGCAGGTGCCAGGGCTGCCAAGCAGGTTTGGGCTCCTGCACAGCTCTGGGCAGTTCCGTGTGCCCTGGAAATGAGCCAGGAGTGCAAAGACTGGGAAAGGTCCCTACAAACACCACATCAAGTGCTGCTCAGTGGGGATCCTCAGAGAAAACACCCACGGGTGAGGCTCTGGAGCTTACCCAGGGATTGGGGCAGGATTGGTGCAGTGACCTCTGTGTTCTGCCTCTGGGGTGTCGTGTGTTCAGGACCCCCTGGCAGGGCCCTGCTGCTGCAGGAGGTTTGATCTAAGGACCTGAATCCTGTGTTGTTTCATTGCTTAATTAACTGCCCTCGTGACTTGTGCAGGTGAGCTGCTCACCATCCTGATCCCAGCACCGCTTCCAGCTGGAGCTGGAGCCCGTGGGACGTGCAGAGATGTCCCTGAGCCCCTCGGGCAGGTGACACAGGGCTGCTGCAGCCCCTGTGTGCAGCCTGGTCATGGAATACCCTGCATTGGAAGAGACCCACGAGGATCATCGAGGCCACGGCTGACGTGACACCGTCTCTGATGCCCTGGGTCAGGAACGAGCAGATCTGGAGCACGGAAAGCTCCTGGGAGCTGTGGAATTGGGGCAGGAGCGTGGTTTCCTCGGTCCAGCTCTCGTCTTTTCACTGGGTAACTCTGTCAGTGTCAAAGCAAAGGCATCAACACACCCAGGTGAGACCAAAGTCACCCTTTTGGGACAAATCCAGCCAGGGCTGCAATCTCCATTCCCTGCCACAGGAGCTGCTCTGCTCCCACAGGCCTTTCATCCTGCTGGGACTCGAATTCCTCCGGAGCAGCAAAGGCTCACAGTGTTATTCTTGTAACATCCGACCTGCCTGGCTTCGTGTGAGGAGTCAAACCCCCGTGAATCCTGGTGTTTGTCCCTTGGGTTTGCAGCAGGGATGGTGCAAACGCTCCTCCTGCCGCGTCCCAGGGTGGCTGGAAAACAGCTCCGTGCATCAAGGTCACTTTATCTGCCCTCATCACGGGCCAGAAAGCTCATGTTAATGGGTCTCTAATTTAATCAAAGTGCAGGGCTGGGATCTTTTTTCCGTCTTGAAGGGCAAAAATCAATTTGCAATGACAGCGGATGCACCTCCTCACTCCTCCAGGCTCCTGACAGACCACTCAAAATTAGCCCCACACAAAATTAGGTGGAATTAAAAAAACCCACCAGACTTATTCAGTAATTCAGACCCAGAATTTAAAATTGAAATGCCCGTCTCAAACCAGCAATCAGTTTTCTCATTTGCATGAAATGCTGTACTACTTTCTCCTTCTATTTGCAGTTTCATCCCGTTTTTAACTCTTGCTCTTTGCATATTTACAGAATCATGGAATATTCTGAGTTGGAAGGGACTCACAAGGTAGTCCAACTCCTGTTACAGGTGTTTTCTTCTTTATTGCAGAACATATCAGATACAATTAATTATATATATAAAAATGTAAATTATTATTATTCAGTGTTGTTAATTTGCTCTCAGGACTGAAAAGTGAGTAAATTTTTTCACAGTAAGAAATAATAATAATAATACTGTCTTGCTCTGTCATCAATATTGGGCTTTTTTAGGTGCTTTTGAGCACTTTGGTGGCACCGTCCCACCCCTGCAGGCCTGTGTGCTCAGAAAAACCACTGATGGGGTTTCATAATTACTGTATGTGTTGTTTACAAACAGCCCTTTTCCTGCAAATCCCGAAGGTGTAAGAACAAATCAGAGAGGAAAAGGCCAGTTTCTGTGCTTTTGGAGGCATGGAATGGGCGCTCCCTGCTTGGACAGAGCAATCACAGGCAGATTTCTTTGCATCTCCCTGCGGTTTGTTTTTCTCTGTCTCAGCGTTCAGTTTGGAAATCAATCACCGAAGAGTCCTGATTTCCATACTCCAGTGGTTTTATTTATTCTGTGCAGCTGGGAGGGAAGGACGGCAGAACAGAAGGAGGGCGGCCGCACGTTCCTGCTGTGAACTGCAGTGGGAATTACGGGGAATTTCTGGAGGCAGCGCCGATGTGGCCAGACCTGTCCCTGGATAGGTGACACACACAGTGACCCATGGTGTGTCCGGTCCTGTCCCCGGGCAGGGGACACACACGGTGACACCACAGCCCCGTCCTCGCCGGGTTTCCTTCCCGTTTTCCTCCCTGTTCCTTCCTGCGAGTCTCCTCCTCTCCCATGTATTTGTTCCCTCCCTTGAGTTCCTTCCTCTTCTGCATTTTAAAACACTTTTCTGCATTTTCTACACGAGATTGTAATTATCGTATGAAACACTGAACATTTTTATTTTAAGGGCTTTTTCAAACCCCTGTAGCCCCTCACCGAGACACGGGTTTATCTTTGTCTGTTTCCTCTTTCAATAGGGAAGTTTTTACTGCTGGAGGCATTCTCACCTTAGGGAAACCTCAGGGTGGGCTTTTAAACATTTCAGTGGGAAACGGGCTGAGCAAAGATCTTTTATTATTGTGTTTTGAACAAAACTTTTGTTGCTTTGGCTGCTTCTCACACTCGTTGTGCTGAGCTCTCCCAACTGTGTTTGTGGGACAACACTTGAGAGGAGGAGGTTGGAGGGATCGTTCCCTACGGGCCGTGGGGCAGGGAGGAGGGGTGGTGACAGGACGGGGCCCTGGGCCGGGGGTGACAGGAGGGGACACGGCGGGAGGAGCCTCCGGGTCCAGGCCGGGGGCAGCGCTCGCCACCCAAGATGGCGGCGGCCCCAGAGGCGGCCCCTTTGTCTGCGGCCGCCGCCGCATTGCGAGAAGGGCGCGAAACTGGGGCAGCGCGGACACGCCCCCAGCTGGCGGCGTGGACGGGGCGTGCGGCCCCCCCCGGCCAATCAGCGGCCTCCACTTCCTTCCCTCTCACAGGGGCGCTCCCGCCCGCCCCCGAGAGCGCAGCCAATCGGCGGCGCCCGCCGCGCCCCGCCCCCGGATGGGCGGAGGGGGCGGGGCCACTCGGCTGTTTTGTTTGCGCGCCCCTCCCCTCGCTCCCCGCCGCGGCTCATGAATATTAACGAAGTCCCGCCCAATCGGGTGGTGCGGCGGTGGCAGCGCTTTGGTGGCGTAATCGCCCCGCCTTGCAGCGGGATTAATCTGCATATTCATGAGATGGGCGGGGCGGAGCGCGGGCGTTTATAAGGCGCCGCCCCGCCAGGCTCGCCGTACATTGCGCTGAGGCTTTGAAGTG